TGATGCTGTGGTAACTTTGCTGTTTGACCCGGGTATCATTTTACCCTTATAATGGTCAGTCTGTGCCTTACTTAGTCTAACGATCATTTGGAATAAATCGATGAATGTGAACTTCATTTCATTTTGTCATTTGTTTCTTCGTCAGTTTCATTAGGTGACTTTAATAACACTTAAAAATCAAATATCCCCTACTTTTTTTGAATAGTATATAAGAATGAACAATGGCTCATGGATGGGTATTATATAATTTATAAACAGGATAGCATTAGAATGCAAAAGATGACAGCACCAAAAAGAGACAGTCATACAGCTTAGATCTTGCGTGGTTAAAAATAGGTACCGTGTGAACTAATTTGCATTCTGGCTAATTTCATTACTTGTTCTGTGTTACGATACACAAGACATATGTCGAAGTGTACAATACATAGGGCGAGTGTCAAATGAGAAGATGTTAGAGTTCAGTGTTTAAAGTTCTGGGTAGATGGACTTCGGCTTGTTGTGAAATGTTTAATGACAAAAAGTAGATGTCATTTTACACGATGTATTTGTCAGTATTACAGGATTTTTTATTTTTACTTTTGACTTAGTCCAATTTACACATTACATTACACATTTGCAACATTGGACATGTAATAGCACTAACAACATAGCACTGACTTTTGACTCAAATCCCCCGTCATACTAGACGACTTTTCTTTGCCAGGAACTACTGACGAGGGGGAACCAGGCTCTAAAATCACGTGGAACGTTCTCGGCCAACTTCGGGTTTTACGAAATCTAAACCCAACAGAAGTATCCGGAAAACGACAAAGATTGTATGAGATACCTGCATAGTGTTGTTGCTATTAGATACATGTATTTATGTCCTACTTGACGAGTTATGAGATAAGATAAAGTGAGCTAGAGTTCAAGTTTAGTTCTGAAAGAAATAGGATTGTTATTCACAAAGTTTAATAGACGGTATGATTTATATATACAAAAAAATAATAAGATTTATGTCGCCGTTCAAACTATTTTAAGATATCGAAATACAATCCCATTCTTCGTGGTCACGATTATACATGCACACAAAGTGTGTAAAACTTATTATGACGAAATAAATACCATGCTAAACTTGCTCATGGTATTCTGAACATTCAGCAATATTGACGCGAAAAATTTATTACGCATGAAACATACAAGTGTTTAAACATGATATAACATCAATTATTTCTATACAGTATAACAGTGTTGAACATAATATAGCACCGACTGGTACTATGAATTATAACAGTATTCAGCGTGATATAGCACCGACTAGCACTATAAAGTATTTATATAACAGTATTCAGCGTAATATAGCACCGACTAGCACTATGAATTATAACAGTATTCAGCGTGATGTAGCACCGATTATAGCACTATAAAGTATTTATATAACAGTATTCAACGTGATATAGCACCGACTAGCACTATGAAGTATACCAGCATCGACTAGGACTTTGGTGTATAACGGTGTTGAACTTGTTATAACATCGGTTAGCGCTATACCCTATAACAGAGTTAGCGTGATATAACGTCGACAAGCATCATACCATGCAGTATAACAGTGTTGTGCGTAATATAGCATCTACGTCCACAGTGCATTGGGTTACGTGTGTGTTAAGGTAGTGGTGTTTAATACCAGTTTTAACACTAGTGGAAAATAGAAAACACATTTTCGTTTCGTTTTTGTCTCCTGTTTTAAAGGCTCAATACCACTCTTGTTGTAACTGAATAATATGTCCCAATCTTTATTCTGGTCAACAAATTGTACTATTTTAGAATAGTTCAATTAATTGATGATACAAATTTCATCTTAACACACCTTATTTAAAATTTTTGAAAAATTCAACATAATGGTTTGAAACGTCTAACGTAAACCTTTTCAAATGAAACTTCGATTTAAAAATATTTTCGAACCCTCTGGACAAGTAAAATAGGATGTAATGGATAATTTACACAACAGGTAGGACACTTAAACATCTAGTACTTAGATAGAGATATTATTTATTTTCTGGAGCTTTCAAGCCAGCAAGAGTGTTATTGTCCCTTTAACGCATTCATTTGTTTGCATGGGTTGGCTGACTATAATAACCACAAAAAAAGGTAATTGAGGAAAATTTCTAACCGCTTTCGGAATGTTTTAACTTAAATGTAACTGGGATCTATGTTGAATTTCTGATGTCTCCCTATGAATTATATTCAATAGAAAATTTTCATCTATTTGATAATTATTCAGTAGAAATTTCCTTTCTAGAATTTCTTGTAAATCAGCTGGTCTGCGATCAACATTTCTTTGTCTAACGGTTTGGTCATTTATGGGTAGAAAATCATTTTATTAAGCCTTAGAACTAAATCTAAATGCCTTACAAAATCCCCTTTTGTCGTCTGTTGTTTCACACCGGTGTTTTAATAAATGGATTAATGTTAGAGTTATTTTTAACAAGATAATTACTTTTATCAAGCTATTATTATCTAACAAGTTTTTATGTAATTAGAAATAATATTGCACAAACCTACTTGTTTGATTATATTTTCATTTAAATTTATTTTCTTAAATTGAGAAATTGATATTAAAAATATAGACAAACTGAGGGGCTCGGGTATAAGTTAGTATTTGGGTAACACAGGTACGACAATAGTGTTCGTGTTGTGAAAATATATCCATGTTTAACACAACTTTAACACCACAGACCTTAACTAGGATTGATTTCAAATACAGAGGGGGTTTGAGGTTGAGTTGGCACAGTGTTACACCAGTACTGCGCCGATCTAACTGGTGTTAAACACTACACCACATTAACCCAGGAAGTGTGGGGGAGGGGCAGTAGTAGTCCACACAAAAATCTAATAAACATTATGTTTACACCTTGTTCGGGAGACGATAATATAAAAGAATCGGTTAGAGGCCATTTTCTTCCTAAAACATTTCATGTTGTCTAGGTTTTGTTTGGGGTTTTATTCATTTGGGCGGGGTGGGGTGGGGGTGGGGTGTATATATTCAAACTTCCAATCTCAGTAATGTAAAATACAAAATATAAGAATGATTGTATAACTGCATGACAAATAGCGCTTAGCAAAGTAAATCTTACAGGTATGCCTATTCTAATCCACATATTACATATAAACGGTATAAAGATAAACTAACCAAGGTTATATACATTTTGTTTATTCATATCAATAATCCCAGATAGTATCTATTAGTAAATATTAATTAATTATAACATGTATTTATGGGTCACTAGTTATAATTGATTAATTCACCGAATTGTGTGACGTTAACCTATATTATTAAATATTTCCTCGTCGAATTAAAGTGTATCTCCCATACAAGAAAGACATTTATCACACTGTTATTATTAACTTGTCGTTATATCACATTACGTTATAAAATGTTGATATTGTGTGTCGCGAGAATATTAATCATAATATTAAAAAATGAATTTAGAAAATAACATTATTTGCATGCTTATGAAAGATCAGATGTATAGCGTTATCTTACACATCCTGATTAAGAATCCTATGACAAGCTTTGTACATTATAATTATATGTATACATGTATGTGGGTTCTTGACTTGAATAATATCCACAGTTAGAGACTCACACAGTGGGTACAAGGTTATGTTTACAGCCTGGTATTAAACAACACTGTATAGCACACATTACTACAAGGTGACGTATTGACTCGTGGCTTATTGTCACTGGCTGTACAGGTGTTTTACAAATTTCTTTCGTTTTGGATTTTATTGAGGTGTCGGTGTTTATGATATATAGTACGTTGCTCTTAATTTTAACAAAGGGTACGATTTGTTATATATTCATGTGGTTGTAAATTTTATCGTCTTATTGAGATTCTGTACTTAGATGGGATTTCATAATCTTTGTCATGGATATACTGGTTCTTTAGTTGAGACAAAGAGTATGGGATTTATCTAATCCGTTATATTGTGGATATTTTAATCCAATTGAAGGCCAACAGAGAATATACGGAAGCGCGGTGGCTCTGACAGAGACGTTGACTCGCTAACCTGGAGATTTCGTTTTTGGAGGAGAAAATTCGTCGGAGTAACCGGCGTGGTTTCATTTGCCAGTGGTAAAAGACGCAGGGCCTGCCAAGGGGCAACGTATAATAATGACATAATGTTTGCATAGATCGATGGAAATTATTATGACTAATGAATTGACCTGAAAGTATAGGAAGAAATGAGCTCATATGAAATGAATGTTAACAACATCCTACTATTAGATGACAATATTTGTTTGACTGCTCTATTTATATGTTGATCACTCTATTCGTTATATCCAGGTATTATTCATTTCGTTTCAAATATATAATGATGAAGGACATTTTTAACTGTGTGGTTAAATTCGGTCAAATTGAAAATAAAGAAGCGCACAATAATATCTGGGAGCATGACACACTGATTTATACAACAATTTACTATGTAGACTTTTGTTGATTGTAGAACACACTATGTAAAGCATGATGATTATTACTTATATTTTATTATATTTTAGGTGTAGTTACTTGATAATGACAGTCTTGGCGGAGGATAATGATTACTGATTGATATTTATATATTTATTTATATAGGAACATGAAGAATAGTATGGGGGCAGTGGATTTTAATTTTATTTAGAAAGCAGATGTTAACTGGTATTTATATTTGTGAGATGTGTATGTTATTACTTTTATAGGGGCAGTGGATTATAATTTTATTTAGAAGGCAGATGCGAACTGATATTTATATTTGGGAGATATGTATATTATTACCTTTATTTCTACAGAGACCGGGATGTATACTATAGGGTGTATATTTTATATTAGATGATGGGAGCAGTCTTCTCGAGATGAATATTGGTTTTTATTTATATATTACATTTTAGTGGCAGTATCTTGGCTGTGTAGGCCTATAGAGTTTTTTATATTATTTTATAGTGACAGCCTCTTTATGCATGTATTTTGATTATATTTTAGGGGCGGTCTCCTAGAGGTGTATAAAAATGGTGACTGTATTAAATCATCATAAACTTAGTAACCGGATATCAACCATGCTACATACAGCTATACACCACACACACAAGGACAAAGGTGAGACTATTATAGCAATAGTAAAAACGTTTATGCAGAAACATGGACATAATGTTAAGAATGGGGAAAATGTTAAAGCACATTTGGTTTGATCGCATATGTTGGCCATTTTTTAAAAAAAGATTTCCAAATATTCGTCAATACCTTCGTGGTCGATTCTATCTATCAAGATGAGCCCTTATTTGAAGTCATTTTTCCGAAAAATCCCTCGGGTCTAATCAGACTAAAAACTGCGTGGAGTATAATTTAAAGTCGACTATCAGGATTTGTGTGGACTGATAGTAATGTAGGCACAAGCTTACATGGTCGTATAGTAACAGAAAATATATGATAAAAATATATTAACTGAATGTCTTTTTCAATTGCGTATTAATCTGATTGACTTACATTTGTCACAAGAACAATGGAAACACCCAAAATATCAGTAAAAAATGCAGATATAGGTTAAGTAGAAACGCAATTTTTGATTGTGTTTATTTGGGCGTGAAGCTTTGAATATTATGCGTGTATTCTACGTTACAATATACTATTATTACATACACACTGCTTGATATGTGATATTTTAATGTAATCCCCCTTTGATTACCAATCTTTGATAGATTTTATAATAGATATTTTTATGGTATTGACTCAGCTTTATAAGTTTCGAACCCGCACGTAGGATTTTTCTGGTTGATGAGCAACGTGTGTGGAGATGGCAATGATGTCACACCATACAATATTCGAACATCTGTCGGTATAAAATTGAGGGAAACCGATTGATAATTGTGTTATTCACATGTTCCGAAAATTCGTGGTCTACATATTGGTAGTGTAAATATTCGATGTGGACACGAGTAGTGTTGTATTTAGACTTTTAATTATAATTCCTTGGATATCAATTTCACAAATATTTTGAAATGCATTTAGCAAGGTTTTATTGAAACCGATACATGTTTATTAATAACTGTTTTCTTTAATTACGTGCATAATGTCATACATTGGGAGAAATCTAGCGCGGTTTTCCGTTTTTACTCTGAATTCAAGTCCCGAGTTAAACTTAAGGTTGTGTTTTAGTGGTGTAAAAATGAGGTTAAAGACTACGCCACCTTAACCGGACATGAATTGACCCAATTGAATTGAATTCAAGTCCCGAGTTAAACTTAAGGTTGTGTTTTAGTGGTGTAAAAATGAGGTTAAAGACTACGCCACCTTAGCCGGACATGAATTGACCCAATGTGTACATGGGTACTGGCTTTCCCGTAGTAGTAGTAGTAGTAGTAGGTTAATAGTCGTTGTCTACTTGCAGTCTGGCAAATTGTAACAGGGCTCAAACATCCCCATGATTCTTGACCTACTCCAGGGTTACAATCCTGGACATAAAAAGAAAAATCCAGGATAAATAATCATTATAGGTTAATGGCAATAATTACCTGTACTGAAAGTAATCTCGTCTTCATTTGACACGTCATAACTGTAAATCATGGGACAGATTTTATATTAACTCATAGTAATAAATCTTTATGTTATGTTTTTATTATTAATTTCTAGTATACGTATTTACAGTTACGATACACTTTACATATAATGATCGTCATAAATTATATTAATTAAAATGTATATTGATTGTGTATATAATTTATGTTAATTAACATGTACTCTCATGAATGTACATCATAAGTTCTTTTTATTGTTAATGTATGTTAGTGTCTATATTTGTATACTTTAAGATAGAATTTGACCCCAGATACAAATGTATTAGAGCCATTTTACTCGATACCAGGTTTGGTTCGATTCTTAAACATGTGGCTTTGCTGAAACCGCATCCGTTACGTATCTGTTTGATTTCCTGATTTAGTATGGAACCAATTTCGTATTAGTCGGTAACTTATATATAATTTTGCTACACGAAGCAACCCAGTTGTTTATTTATAGATCTTAGATTTCGTGTTGTATTTTCGTATTGTATTTTGTGTATTGTTAATTCCGGTAGACATGTATCTGTGGTCACCCTCTTTTGTAACTGAAACAAAAACTAAGGTCCCCAGTCAAACAGCGACACCGCACCATGAAGGTCTTTATAGATCAGTTATTCGTTGTCGTTGTTCCTGTAGACATTTAGAATAGATTAGAATAGAATATAGTTTTATTGCATCGAAACGCCCTTTGAGGATAATATACGAACGTTTAAATTGAAAATACAAAAAAATACGCATAAAAAGGGTAATAAAATATCATGGCTCAAAACCAGATGAGAATGTGGCTTAAACCGTTGAGATAAATATGTATGGTCGATAGTAGACCCCCCCCCCCCCACACACACACGCACACACACACACCAACCCGCCCGCCCAAACGATCTGCTTAAAACCACGTAGACCTACTCCATTAACCTAGTAACATCTGATAATGCTTTCTAATTTATTGAACCAGATACTAGAGATGTATAGGTTCCCTGGGGAAAAGACTCTTGGCGCCAGGATAATACTTGACATATATAAGGGTATAAATTTAATTGAATTCATCGAATATAAAACCGGAGCTAGAATTTCAACTGAAATAAACCATGTAGGGCCTAGCCTATACGGAAGAATTGTGTTGACGCGGAAGCTAGCATGCCCGCCCATAAACTTTACACTTCCGTACGACTATCGAGCGAGCCCCATATTAATGCCCGATGTTGTCACAGAAACATTATAATTTTTAACAAAATAATATTTGATACGAAGAATGATCAACGAGCCATGGTGGAATGGTGATAATCGGTGCTCATTTGACGATAATCGGCGGTCGTTGGCGATACGTCAACCGTAAAAAGAAACATCGCCACAACAATACTATATGCAACACACCACATAACTTAGGTCAATGTAAAATTAAACGGGGGTTAAAGATACATTATATAAGAGCTAAATCTGCCTTTGGAAGGTCTTTATTTTGGCTTCAAATGTTATATAAACTTTTATTTAGACATTTATTCACACGACACAATGGTGAATCGAGTCTCGATTAACCAGTACCGTTGGTATTTTCAATATAAAGAGAATCTCCTACTCGTCTTTTGTGATATCAAAAAAGACGAGTAGAAGATTTTATTAATCACCCAACCCTTTCTTACATGCACAAAATAAAGAATATGAAATTTATAACACAACTGATATCTACATTTATCTAAATCTTACATAATGGGTATTAAAGTTTCAGGCCAAAGTCTTTTGGATTCATATTCTTAAGAGAGATAATCAAATTCAGGGGCAAGTAACTCGTCTGAAACCGCTTCAAACAGTAAGAAAAATGGGAACGCGCCACTCATAAACAAACTCCCTTTAAAGACAACCCCACAGACGAGACGTACAATATATATAGTCTACACAAGTCATAGAAAACGTATATCAAATCAAGTGAAAACGATATGAAACAAGATAAAAATAACACTTCCATTATCTATGGGACGTTTAATACCACCTTTCTCTTTCAGAAAATAATAAATACATTTTTCCGCCTAAAACCAAGGAATTATTCATCACGACGCCATTGTCGATGGTGGATCTGACTGCCACCGTGATAATCTAATCTAGTACTCTAATCCCAGCTTCTAATGTCTAGCCGTCTTTAAATTTAGGGGATTACGGTGGCTAAGTGAGTAAGACGCTGGCTCGCTGGCCTGGAGGTCGGGTGTTCGATCCCTGCATTGGCCGAGAAAGTTCAGCCAGCTGTCTAGTCGTTCGGATGGGACGAAACCCCAAGGTCCCAAGTACACATTGGCGTGCACTTAAAAGATCCCTTGACAGTTGGAATTCGATATAAGAGTAGGCCGTAGTGCCGCTGTTCGGGCAAAATTTCCCTCATAGCACACTGCATGGCGTATGCCCGTCTTCATTAAACCCCATTCCATTTCATTTCATTTCTTTGAATTTATTTGCTCTCGTTGTTAGTTAGGACTATCCCCGATTTTTAAAAAAAAAGAAATGTATGCCCATCGTTAGATGGCACGTAAACTGGGTATCGTTTACTTGGTAGCGGACGTAAGTAAAGCCAAATATAAGTGGTTGTTTACTATGCACCATATTACATTGCATTTTACCTAACCTATTTATTGTACAGCGATATAATTGCATTACATATACAAGACAAGTACACGAGTGGGATATAACAATGTTATATTTTGTCAAGCCCCCGAGGGCTCAGGGTGGGAGATAATAATTACGGTTTAATAATGAGATATGAAACCAACTGCATCAATACGTATAGCCCTGGGACATTAATACAAGGTCAACAATAAACCCTGCTGGATTAGTATTCGTGTATAGTAGTTATGAAAAAATATCTCAAGTTGTATCCGTTACCAGCATGGGGGGGTTAGATGGCCGAATGGTTAGCACGTGCGTGCTGTATCATACGGTCTGTCATTGAGTCAATTGACGTGGTTTTGAATCCCCGGTTGTACGTGACAAGGAGTAGGGTCGCCTGTCCAACCTCGTGGGTTTTCTCCGGGTCCTCCGGTTTCCTCCCACTGCTGAAGACCCCTACGCGCAAGCGAATTATTGAAATAAAATTAAACCATATGTTAGTCCCGAAATGACCTAGTTTATGTTGAGTGGACGTTAAACCCCATTTCTCTCTCTCTCTCGTTACCAGCATGTTTTTAAAATGTTTATACTCCTGTGAAATAAATTGGTATCATAAAAATGATTTTTGGGTGAAGGGATGGATCTTATAGCAGACGAAAAAGCGAGGTCCCATGTACACATTGGCGTGCACGTAAAAGATCCCTTGACAGTTGGAATTCGAAATAAGAGTAGACCATAGGGCCGCTGTCCGGGCAAAATTTCCCTCATAGCACACTGTACATGTATGGCGTATGCCCGTCATCATGGGCCCAGTTCGGAGCAGAACATTAGGACGTTAACCCCTTAGACATTTTAAGGGGATTGCTAAAATCTAAGAAATTGTAAGCATATATTTAAATTAAATTGAGTATCGTCATATGTGGAAAACGTTTGTTATGATCGTAGGCCCAG